AAAACAATTAAAAATAATATCTTCCTCCCTTAAACTACATGTACATGTACATTGTACATTGTACATACATGTACATGTATCTATATCCAATTTATTTTCATTCCCTCTCTCTCCCTCTTACCATTCCCCATATTGAATAATGGAATGAGTTCAGTTGTTCTCTATCAGTCAGTCCAGTATCTGCTCTATGCTTTAGTAATAACTTGACAATGTCATCTCTTCCTAATAGACAGGATATCATTAGAGAAGTAACTCCAGTATCACCAGAAGTTTCATTAATATCAACCTAAACAATAATAACAAGAAAATTTAATTTATTGTAATGTGTTAATTAGCCAGCCCCATGAACATGCCAGCCATTTTACCTCCTTCTTTGCTAAAATTGATTTTATTCCTGATATACGATCATTACTAGTAACAGCACTCAGTAAGGATCCATTGCTCTAAGGATGAGATGATATCAACACACACAAACAAAGTTCGAATTACTTACTTGGCCGCCATTTTCTAACAGGGTGTGGCAAAGGGTTAGGCCTACAGAGAGCTGTTTCTGACCGTGTATACCCTACACTAAGAAATTAAAACAAAAGATAAGGTTTATATCCATTACTTTTTGTATTATTTCCCTAATGAAGGCAGTCGGAGAAGAGAAAACTGAAGAATCCTCATTCACTGATCCGCAAAACATTGTGCATGTGTTCCTTCTGATTGTTACTATGGTAACGAGCCCACCCACGTCTATTATAATTACCATGGTAACGAGCCCCACCTTCTTCTATAACAAAAATTAAAAAGATTATTTTCCGCTCAAGGTCATGGAAAGAATGCTGAGTTTATGATCTATGGAACATGAGCCACATAGTGTGATCATAAGTAGTACAGATATCATGTTTATGGTATCTGTATATGGTGTCAGGTGTAAAATTCTGTGACTGACTATAATTGGGCAACGACCCATGCATAAACAACCTCCACATTGCAGAGATGGAAAATGCCAATGCAACAAATCTTAGCCTCTTTTTTACTGATGAAAATAGTGATTTCATTATTGCTGATGATATCAATGGGCCTGCTTTAGCAGTTGTTGTTGGTCTGGAGTTCCTGATATCACTAGTCATCAATATTGGTGTCTTATTGGCTACGTTTGCTCAACCATCTTCACTAAAGAAACCATCCACAATATTCCTCTCCTTCCTAGTAGGAGCAAACCTCATAATGACCCTCTTCTTCATGCCTTTCACAATCATAAGTGCTGCAGCTGGTGAATGGATATTTGGTAGTACATACTCTCAGAAGACAGCAGTGTGCACGTTTGTAGGTTTTATGTTTAGCCTCTCGGTTGGTTTCTCAGCCCACACATTTGCACTCATTTCTTTTGACAGATTTCTGTTTATAGTCAAGCCATTGATGTACATTAAATACATGAATCAAAGACTGGCTTTGGTCATCATTGCTTGTCTGTATCCTGTTATAATACTA